TACTGTAGGACTCAGTTTGTCTGGTTTGTGTTGACAACCACCATACTACCGTACTGTATACAGGTAATAAATTTCCTTTATTTTCATTTAACAATAAATGTCAAACCGTATTCTTCTTCATGGAAAAATAAGACATCCCCTGAAAATAAGACCTAGCGCATCTTTGGGAGCAAAAATTAATATAAGACACTGTCTTATTTTCGGGGAAGCAGGGTAGTGGAGCAGAGCAGAAGGGCCACTGGGAGGGAGGAGGGTGTGAGCATATGAAAGACCCCACCCCAGGGGCTCCCAGAAAGCTGGAGGTGTCCTCACTAGGTTAGGAGCTTGATAGGGAGAACCACTGACAAAGAAATTGCTGTTGCTACATCTGACCCATTAGAGCTGTAGTCAATGAGTCTGAATGCTGTTCCTAGTCATATAGCTCTTATGCAATGGTGTGTTCTTGGAGAATTTATAATTACTAATTACCAAGCAAGAAGGAGGGGACTGTAGACACTGGTTCTCAATCTATGAAAGACCCGTTGTTGTTGTTTTTTAATTTCCAGTGGACTGATTTCTTTTTTCTTGAAATATATTTTATTGATTTTTACAGAGAGGAAGGGAAAGGGATAGAGAGTTAGAAACATCGATGAGAGAGAAATGTGGATCCGCTGCCTCCTGCAGGAAGTGCCACAACCAAGGTACATATGCCCCTGACAAGAATCGAACCTAGGACCCATTCCAATGAGCCAAACTGGTTAGGGCTGGACTGATATTTTTGCAAAATACGTAAAAGTGAGTTATCAGAATAATCAAATAAACAGATAAAAAAAAATAGAAGCCCTGTTTTTAAAAATATATATATATATTTTATTGATTTTTTACAGAGAGGAGGAGAGGGATAGAGTTAGAAACGTCGATGAGAGAGAATCATTGATCAGCTGCCTCTTGCACACCCCCTACTGGGGATGTGCCCGCAACCAAGGTACATGCCCTTGACTGGAATTGAACCTGGGACCTTTCAGTCCACAGGCTGATGCTCTATCCACTGAGCCAAACCGGTTTTGGCAAGCCCTGGTATTTTTTGTTTGTTTTTTAAAAAATATATTTTATTGATTTTTTTACAGAGAGGAGGAGAGAGGGACAGAGAGCTAGAAAAGTCGATGAGAGAGAAACATCGACCAGCTGTCCCGACGTTCTACCACTGAGCCAAACTGGTTTTGCCAAACCCTGTGTTTTTTTTTGTTTTTTTTAAATATTAGGTTCAACAGTGATAAAATTACTCTATCAAGTTGTGTAAAGGTTTTCAATACTTTTCTAACTGCAGACAGGTGATGACAGTTCGTGGACGGGCACTGGTCTGTAGAACTCGTTTCCCGGTTTTACGACGTTTTCACCTGATGCCACTTGAAGGGGCTCCATCACCTGGAGCTCCCACTTCTAGTCACACACATTGGTGAATGGGATAATGGTGCTGTGACACTGGCCATGTAGGAGAGTGCCCTTGTTCCAAATAGATGTATGCAGAGTAATGATGGAGAACACAGAAGGAGAGGAGATGCGGGAGAGGGGGTAAAGGAAGGTGAGTAAGAGGAGAAGGGAAGGGGGAGAGGGAGGAAAGAGACCAGAGAGAAGGAGAGGGAAGTCTCAGGACACAGCCTGCACATATTTGGCAAAATATTAGTAATTGATGTTAAGCAGGTGTTCAGGTGTTTATTATCCAGTTCTTTCAATTCATGAGAAGATTTGCAGTTAAAAAACAAAACAAAAAAACCCAACAACACTTTCTTAAAAAACACAGCTCTAGGCCGAAACAGGTTTGGCTCAGCGGTAGAGCGTAGGTCTGACTGAAAGGTCCCAGGTTCGATTCCGGTCAGGGGCATGTACATTGGTTGGCGGGCACATCCCCGGTAGGAGGTGTGCAAGAGGCAGCTGGTCGATGATTCTCTCTCATCAACGTTTCTAGCTCTCTATCTCTCTCCCTTCCTGTCTGTAAAAAATCAATAAAATATATTTAAAAATAAACAAAAAACAAAGAAAAAAACAAACACAGCTCTAGCCGGTTTGGCTCAGTGGATAGAGCATTGGCCTGTGGACTGAAGGGTCCCAGTTTGAATTCAGGTATGCAGGAGGCAGCCGATCAAGGATTCTCTCCCATCATTGATGTTACTATCTCTCTCTCCCTCTCCCTGCCTCTCAGTAAAGATATATTAAAACAACAACAACAAAACTTTCCAGTGAGCGCTAGCTGGTTTGGCTCAATGGATAGAGGTCAGCCTGCCACTGAAAGGTCCCAGGTTCAATTTCAGCCAAAAGCACATGCCTAGGTTTCGGGCCTGATCTTCAGTAGGGGGTGTGCAAGAGGCAGCCAATCAATGATTCTCATCATTTATGTTTCTATCCCTCTCACCTTCTCCCTTCCTTTCTAAAATCAATAAAGTATATTAAAACAAAACAAGACAAAAAAACAACTTTCCAGTTATAGGAAACACCCTTTTCTTCAAAAGCCCAGTTCCGAGATAGCTCATTTTACTCTTCAGTATATATATTGCAGCTCGAGCATTCATTTTTGGCTTTGATACCTGCCATGGCTACATCTCTAATCTCCTTTCACTTTTCACTCTTTTCAGAATATCTCCTATATGTTAGGTACCCTTTATGACATAACTTTAATCATATCACACCTTTAAAAAAATTTCACTATGTACCTGTTGTTCTTCAAAGTAGAATGTCTTATTCAAGATTTTCTGCAATCTAAATTTTAACTCTTGTTTTAGCCTTCTAGCTTTGCTTTCTCATGTTAACACCATCATGAAAAATTTTTATGCTTTTCCATGTTATTGTTTCACAGTTCTCAAAATTTCCCCCTACAAAGAATTCCATTCTATACACTCTTCAAGATCAGCTCAAATTAATTAATCTTAGATGTAGTTATATATCTTACTATACACACTGTTCAAATCCTACATCGTTTTCCTTGATTAACTCAGCCAAACAATAACCCCAGTCTCCAGGGCTTAATCCAGTCTGGCATATACACTTAGCACAGTATATACTTTTAACTTTTCTAATAGTTATTTTTGTTAAAGATTTTTAAAAAACATATTTTATTGATTTTTTTACAGAGAGGAAGGGAGAGAGATAGAGAGTAAGAAACATCAATGAGAGAGAATCATTGATCAGCTGCCTCTTGCACCCCCCCCACTGGAGGTGTGCCCGCAACCAAGGCACATGCCCTTTGACCGGAATCGAACCCAGGACCTTTCATTCCGCAGGCCAACGCTCTGTCCACTGAGCCAAACTGGTGAGGGCTTGTTAAAGATTTTTACAATTAATTTCTGAGAGAGGAAGGTTAAAGAGGGAGATGAATCAGCTGCCTCCTGCACGCCCCCTACTGAGGACCACGCCCCCTACTGGGCATGTGCCCCCACCTCCTGGTTCATGGGACAATGCTCAACCAACTGACCCTTACCAGCTGCGCTAGACTAGCTCTCAAATTACACCACAGGACGAAAATACATTGTCTATCTCAAAGAATGGCATGGCGGTTAAAATGTTTGAGGTCAGTATTTTGCATCGTACCCCTCTGAAAGTATCTGTCAATCATAATGCCTCTTACTATTTATTCTTTCTATTTTTGCTTTTCCTTGAGGCAACTTATGGAATATAAAAGCTGACCAAGGCCTAGGGGAGTGGACATAATACTGGGGTACTCAAAGCTATTTGAAGATTTTCCAAGATGTGCATGAGCAAGGAGAATATGTTTTCAAGTATTCAGTTCTCTGATCCTTACTTCCCATCCACAGCCATCCCCAAAACTATCTGCCTGAAAATGTGCCCCGGGGTCAGAGTGACAGCACCCTCCTTTCCTGTCTCCCTTATCCCAATTGCCCCTCCCCTACTTTACAAAAGAATGGCATAATTCTTTCCCAGCCCAAATCTTATAAAGTGTAATACCCAGGAGGGGGATGCAAAACCTTCCAGACAATAAAAAAGAAACAATGGACTGGAGAAACAGAATGTGTTAAAACTTCCTTTTGTAAATCAGGTGGTTTTCAGTTGCTTATTTCAACCAAGTTGAAAGAGAACCTAATCAGAGTTGTCAGCTGATAGATCATTAAACATATTTTCTCTTTGTTAGATCTTTATGCGGTTTCTGGGCATATAATTTGGAATGAGTTTCAATAAATGGCATTAGTATTACAAAAGTCCATTCTCATCTACTTATGTCTATGGACTAGTTTTCTCAATGCTTATGTTCATGGAATCGAAAACTTGGAATAGAATTAATGCTGAGTTCATTCTCATACTAGTAATACTCATCCACAGATAAAATAGGCTGGTTGAAAAAAACAATTCATCCAATTCCATTTCTGTAAGATGCATTCCCAACAAAATTTTACTTTTATGTTTATTTATAAATACTTTCAACTTGTTTTTTCAGTTGAAATTATAAGACTTAAGAGTTTTTATGATCAGAGAATTTATAAACTACCCTTACATTTCAATTTATATACACATTTTTATCAAAAGGAAATGTAAGATGATAAATAAAAGAGTTCAAACACAAAATATATTATGATAAAAACTCTGGAGAGGATGTGGAATGCCAAGATCAATTCCAGAAGATAAAGGATGAAAACTGTCCCAAGTATAAGAGACTGCATTTTTTAAAAAAAGTAAGGATTAGTTAGTGGTTAATAAATCTCGATGGCATTTCGAAGTTCATTCGCTGTATGTTAGGAAGCGTGACAGTTATAAAGCATTATTCCAAAGGGCTCAGGAACCAAAAAGTTGAAAGATTCCTCAACAGTCAGGCTGTCCTTGTTCTGAGACGGATTGAACCTCTTCCTCGAGGGATTCAAACGCAGGTTGGAGTAAAACCTGTGGCTCTAGGCCGGCGCTTAAGGATGCGGCACCTTGCACTGTGTTAATGTATGGTTATTCTTTTAAATCGCCTCTCCTCCTCAGATTGTAAGCTCTCCGAAGCCCAGGACTCTCTGTTCGATTTCTGGGGCACTGATTTCTGGGCTCAGTGCCCGTGCTCTTGGGGACACTCCCCAGACGCCCCTGGGATGGATGAATGAATGAATGAACGAACGAACGAATGAATGAATGACTGCCGTACTGCCGTGAGAACGCGCGAGGCTGTTAAAATCCCCGCGGGCACTCCAGTTTCTGTTCAGCGCGTCCCGCCCGCCCGCTGCGAGGCCCGGCCCGGGAAGGCGTGGGAAGGCCCGAGGGGAACTCTGCGCGCTCTGCGGCCGGGAGGGCGGGGCGGGGCCGGTGGGGGCGCGGGGCGCGGGGGGGGGGGAGGGGGGGGGAGGGCGGGGGAGGAGCCGCCGCGCAGGCGCGCCGCCGTCCCCGCGTGCGCGCTGTCCCCGCGCGGGCGCCGTAGCGCGTGTGCCGGCTGACGCAGCCCGAGGGCCCTCCTCTCGCTCGGCGGCGGCGGCGTCGGCGGAGTTTGGGGCGTTAGGGAGGAGGGGGCGCGGGAGGGAGCCGAGTCGCGAGAGGGAGGCGGCGGCGGCGGCGGCGGCGGGGAGGAGGGAGGAGCAGGCGCCGCCATGGCCGCCGCGCTCACCGACATGGCCGACCTGGAGGAGCTCTCCCGCCTGAGCCCTCTGCCCCCCGGCAGCCCCGGCTCGGCGGCGGCGGCGGCGGCGCGGGGCCGGGCGGAGCCCCTGGAGGAGGATGAGGACGAGGACGAGGAGGAAGCGGAGGCGGAGGCCCAGGCGGTGGCGGCGCTGCTGCTGAACGGCGGCGGCGGCGGCGGCGCCGGGGGCGCTGGGGGCGGCGGCGGCGGCGGGGGCGCCGGCGTGGGGGGCGGCGAGGCGGAGACCATGTCGGAGCCGAGCCCCGAGAGCGCCAGCCAGGCCGGCGAGGACGAGGACGAGGAGGAAGAGGAGGAGGAGGAGGAGGAGGAGGACGAGGGCAGCAGCAGCGGCGGCGGCGAGGAGGAGAGCAGCGCCGAGAGCCTGGTGGGCAGCAGCAGCGGCGGCAGCAGCGGCGACGAGACGCGCTCGCTAAGCCCGGGCGCGGCGAGCAGCAGCAGCGGCGATGGGGACGGCAAGGAGGGCCTGGAGGAGCCCAAGGGACCGCGGGGCGGCCAGGGCGGCGGCGGCGGCGGCGGGGGCGGCAGCAGCAGCAGCAGCGTCGTCTCCAGCGGCGGCGACGAGGGCTACGGCACCGGGGGCGGCGGAAGCAGCGCGACCTCCGGGGGCCGGCGCGGCAGTTTGGAGATGTCGTCGGACGGGGAACCCCTGAGCCGCATGGACTCGGAGGACAGGTGAGTGCGCGCCGGCAGCGTCCCCCTGGCTCCCGGTCCCTCTCTCCCTTCCCTCCTCCTCCTGCGCTCCCTGGCCGGGTTTTTTTTTTTGTTGGGGGGGGACGGGGACGGGAGGACTCTTGGGGGCTGAGAAGCCCCCCGTTTCCCCGCACCCAGGGCCCCTCCCCCAGGCGCTCCGCTCGGAAACCTCCCGGCCGCCCCGCCCCTCTGGCTGCGGATAGCGGCTCCCAACTCCCGGACCCCTCTGCCCCCCTCCGCGCGCGCCCCCCGGCTCGGACCCGAGGACAGCCCGCCCGGCCCGGAGCGCGCCCCCCGCGCAAGCCCCCGATCCTCCCCGCGGGAGCCGGAGCGAGGCCCCAGGAGCGCACCCCCCGGCCCACGAGGTTAGCGTCCGCCCGGAGCGCCCACACTTGTCACAACTGCAACTGACAAGTGTTTTCCAACATGGCTGGTCTCGCCTGGATTTTCGCAGAACTTCCTTGTTCGGGGGAGGAGACCCCTCTTCTTAGAAAAAGCAAAAAAGAGGAAAAAAAAAAAAAAGTTCTTTTCTGCGTAATCGCAGCTCCCCAAATGCCTCCCAGGCAGCCGTTAGCGCGGTCTCCAAAGGGATGTAAATAACTTGTATGGGTTGGTTCCGCGAACAAATCTGGGAGAAAGTTGAGAGCGAATCAATCTGTTGTCGAAAAAGAAAAGGTGAATGTTAACGGCTTTTCAGATATCTTGGCGGAACCGGAGGGAGTTGGAAGGGGGACGGACGGAATAGGCTCTCGAAGGTGCCCGCAGCATGGTAGGCGGTTTGATGTCTCTCTGAGTTTAGGTGGTGGTAGTTGTTGAAGTCCCGGGTTGGAGAGCTCTGCAGGAATTAGCGTTCTTCTAAGGAGAGTTCGTTGGGAGGAACTGGGGACTGACCAGAAATGCGCTTGCTTTTTTCCCCCGGGACGTTAAAACCATTGCAGTAGTAGGTTTCGATTGTTACTGTTATTTTTGGTCTCTTTGGGAAACTTCACATTTTAAGTGATTGGTTCTTAGTGTATACTTTTTAACAACAGCACGGCCTCATTCATGTTGTACTGCTTCTGAAGTGTATTAGCATTTATTTTTGACGGTCTGCTAATGTTTAGAGCAGTCTGTTTTTAAATAATCTGTATTCACTTGGATTTAGAAGTTTTAAGTGTTCTAAAATTCTAGGAGTAACGATTGGTAACTGATAAAAATGAATGTGATAAGGAATGTAAGGCCCTAAATATTTTGGAAATACAGTGTTAGGATCTGTTTGACACTTTGATATCGAGTTAAGACATCTTGGCTGGGGTAAAACAGACTGTGCAAACCTTAGAAAAATTGTACCAACTGTGTAGACATGGCAGGAAGGAGAATGTCTTAAAGAGAATTAGAAATTGATGTGAACTGCACAATGAAGAATGCGTTATTTATTGTTTTATTACTTGTGGATCCTTCATTGGTACCTGAAGATATTTGAAAGTTAGTAGTTTCCACAGTTCTTCTATTTGGTTATGGAGACACACACACACACACACACACACTTGTTTAGCACTGCACAATTTAAATGTTGCAGTCATTTCATTCACAGTTTGGTGCAAACTAGGTATTATTTTGGCTTCTATTTACCAGATGAAGAAGCAAGTTGAGTGTCTTCCTAAAAACAGTAAGTAGAATGGTAGTGGTGAAGCTGAACAAAGGTTCTTAAGTCCTTGCTGTTTCCATTTCACAAGAGTAAGAATATTGCACCTTAAATAAGAAGCTGTATGTGTCAGTTTTTGTTTGTTTCAGTTAATATCTTGTCCACTGCAATCCTTTTATTAGGAGACAATGAATTATTGGTCAAGTAGTATTTCAGGAAGTGGAGTTTTGGCCTCATTTTATATTTATTGCATATTTACTTGAGTATCTACTTCTAATATCATACTTCAGAGTAAGGAGTAAGATAATTGGTGCCACAAGTCCAAATAAGGTTAAAACTTGATAACTAAGCATACTTGCTTTTCTTAATGCTTAAGCATTGGAAACTACAAAATACTGTAATTTTACCATTTCAAGGTAGTAGATTGATTACTTCTATTGAAAAAGCCTTAAATTACTAGTGAAACTGGTTGTGGTCTTGATAATCTTAATTCTGTTGTCCTGTTGTCATTGAGTTAAAGAACTATTTTAAGATTGGAAAGGATTCATAATTCTTACAAATTGTCCTGCAGATTACACTAATCTGTGTGGATTTTGTAGATTGATTTCATGGTAGGAAGTCTTTATTTCTGTAACTGATGAAGGGATATTGTGGTTTTAAAGTGCTTTAAAAAAAACTTGAGGCAATTCTATCACAACGATTTTGTCATTAGAATTTACTGTCTCAGGATATTTTTTTCTAACACTTTGAAATTAGGTAGTGTCTTTGAATTTAACATATTTTAGAACTTGTTGAAATATCTTAAATACTTTTAACTGTAAGAGCTTCTTAAGAAAGAATATAAACACATAGATTTTTTGAAGCTTGTGATTCAAGGTGTCTCTTTATAATCATGTATTGAAAGTGTCGTGTGATGAAAACTAATTTATAAAATGATTAAATGACATTTGGTACAAAAAACATTGATTCTTTTCCCCAGGAGAAAGTTATTCAAAACCATGTAAGTGTATTATTGTGTTTCTTTTAGTAAGGTTGGCAAACTTAAAGTTGATGGTAATTTACTTTGGTTATAGAGATAATGAAATTTTCTTTTGGGGAGGGGATATTTAGCTGTGCGAGAACACTAAAAACTAGTTTTTCTTTTACTTTGAATCTAAGTTTAAGTATTTTTTAAAAAGTTACCACCTTCTAAGTTAATTTCAGAGGCTATCTTAAATACAATTTTAGAATTTAAAATGCCTCAAATTTCTTTTAGTTTACAAATTCGTTTTAGCTATTGAATCAGATTTTACTTACATTGAAAGTACTCTGAGCTACTTATCCTATATAAGTGAATTAATAATAATCTCTTTCATTCTGTGGTTGTCTCTTTTAAATTCTCTCTCCCTTTCCTCCAACACCAACTAGAGTATAAACCATGACTTATTTTTGAAAAAGCCAAGGCCTCTTTCAGCCACTTTTATTAGTCTTTATGGGTAAATCTAGGTATCAAATGAAAAGTGCCTGCATGAGGATAGGTAAAAGGGAAGGGCATGTAGAATGAAACTTATTTTAAATGTTGAGCAAAGGTCACAGGCCCTTACCATCTTGTGGATCAAAATTTGTCAATTTTGGGAGTTGTAAACAGGTATAATTAAGATTGCTTTGAACTGAACAAAAACTGTGCACCTATGGATGAGGACAATGGGGGATGGGGAAAGGACAGAGGGTGGGGTGGGAACCTGGTGAAGGAGAGCAATTGAGGGGGGGAAGAGGATCACATTTGTAATAATCTGAACAATAAAGATTTATTTAAAAAAAATAAGATTGCTTTGAAATTGGGAAAACAGACTTATGTTGCTCAATTTCCCTATAGTATGGTTCAGGAAATCCTTTTCTAAGATAGAGGCTAAATTTTAAAATCAGATTAATACTAGAAGGTTGATAAGGTTATTGTCAAGATTTATTAAGGATCTGTTTGTTTGAGGCAATAAAATACCTTTATGTAGAGTAATATTTTGCTCATAATGCATAATTAAACTCCTTTTCACTACCCCTTTCATCTCTGAAGCAGTCAGCTCTTCAGAGTTTCTAGAATTACCTCTTTTTCACCACCCTTTTATTTTGATTAAGAGAGAGGTAGAAGCATTAATGAAGAGAGAGAATAATTAATTGGTTGCCTCCTGCACACCCTGCACTGAGGATGGAACCCGCAACTTGGACATATGCCCTGACCAGGAATCGAACTGTGACCTCCCCTGGTCCCCATAGGTGGATGCTCAACCACTGAGCCATGTCATCAGATTTTTGATGACTTGAGACCACCTTTCAAAACCCATCAAAATACACAACAAACCCCTTTTCTGGTCTTTTAAAACTTGGCTTTAATTTCTTTTTCTATTTTTTTTCTCTTCTTTTATGGTGCTCTAGGTAGAGGGATGTGGTGTATTATAATAAAAAGAGCCTATAATCTGGAGTCAAAGGGAACAGTTCACATTTTAGTCTTGCCTGTATTATGATTTTAAGTAATATCTTTGAGCCTTAGTTCCTCAGCTGCAAAACAGGGTTAGCTTTTACCATGAAGGTGTTCTAAGGTCTAAGAGATTTTTTGTTAATGACTCCTGTGAACTGTTTTGAAGAATCCATGTTATTTTGATGCTTGTTTTATTCTTTTTGTTGTTCATTGGTATATTTTTGAGAGCAGGGATAGTTTAGCTGGTTTAGAACTTTGAATTTAACACAATGCCTTGGATATGGTGAGTACTCATTGATTAGAATTAAATTGAAAAACCAACAATAGAATTTATATAAATAAACGAGACTATAAACTGAGGGCCAAGATTAGATGTCCTTGATTGGATCATTATATTTGGTATTGATGAGTTTAAAGACAGCTTTGCCTGTGACATTGTATGCAAAATTTATAGATACTTTTCTCTGAGCAGAAACCAGCAACTTTTCTTTTTTCTTTTTAAAAAAAAATATATTTTATTGATTTTTTTTACAGAGAGGAAGAGAGAGGGATGAGAGAAACATCAATGAGAGAGAATCATCGATCAGCTGCCTGTTGCACACCCCCTACTGGGATGTGCCCACAACCAAGGTACATGCCCTTGACCGGAATCGAACCTGGAACCTTTCTGTCCGCAGGCTGACACTCTATCCACTGAGCCAAACAGGTTTTGGTGAAACCAGCAACTTTTCAAATGAGTTGGTCTAAGAATTACCTATTTAGAGGAGACCAGAGGTGCATAGTAAATGTTAAAAGATTTGACAACTCTGAAATGGAAAATTTCTATAAAAATGAGTGTGAGTATGGAAATCTGAAATGGATAGTTACTAGAGAGCTGCTTCTTTTTTTAAACACCACTGTTTAAAAGCATTTACTGTATAAAAATGCTTTAACATTTTATCAAAGTTAGTGAAAAACTTGAAATTAAGGGGAAGTATTGGGAGAGAAGTGAGTTATGAGTCAGAATGTTTGGAGTTGGAATTCACTTAAGGTGGTGACCATGGGACATTTATTTAAGTTATTTATTGAATTACTACTATTTTAGGTCTCTTATCTGCAAAAGGGGAATAATAATAAATTGTTGTGGGGATTACATATAGAATATATAGCACAATTTATTAAGCGTTTACTATGTGATAGGTATTTAACAAATACAGGGTGAGGCAAAAGTAGGCTTACAGCTGTGAGTATGGGAAATAGTTTATTCTTGCATTATATTATTTTCCATGAATAATTCCTGTGTGTTCCTGAGAATAGGAACCATGTCTCTTTTGACCATGCTGTATCCGCAGCACCTGACACAGTCCTTGACACTTACTTTATTAGTAAGTATTCTTAAATATATTTTGGATGAATGATGAAACTCCTGAAACAGGAAAATTAACTCTATGTGGTGAAAGAAGAGAAGGAGAGTTTGGAGCAGAGAGACCAATTAGGAGGTTAGAGGAATACTACAGGTGTGAAATGAAGAGGCTTGAGCTTGGATAGACATTTGGGAAAAAAAATCATGCTTGGGAAACTGAATCAAAGGAAAGAAAATCAAATTTTCTGAGTTGTCTCTAAGACAGATAAATTACTATTTCTGAGAAGGAATTTTTTCTTGGATTTAATTATAACAATAGCTTACCCTCCCCCTCTCTCCAGACATATCTATTGCTGAAATAAGTAAAGGAACATTGTGTAGTAAAAAAACATGAACCTTCTGTCAGAAAGACTTGGGTTATTTTAATTTAACCATCTCAGAAGTTGTTTACTTGTAAAATAGGAGAAACGTCTTAGTGTTATGAATAAGTGAAATAGAATATGTGAAACAGAAAAGGGCTTGTATTTAATTTATAGAGTCATTTACTCTCCCATTTCTCATGCACAGAGATGTGGAAAAAATACTCTAGTGGGAATAAGTAATCAATATTGTAGTATTGGTTTTACTAAATCCTGCCTACAGAAAATTTGGCAAATCATTTCATTTCTCTGAACTTAAGATTCTTTTTCTTTAAAGTGAGGGTTTTTGACCATAATATAATTTGGAGCTATCCTTTAGACCAGGGGTGAAGAACATCTGCCATGGCCTTCACAATCATTTGGTCTGGCCCTGCCAAGGCATTACAGGTGAGTTAGTTAAGTGTTACAGGTGAGTTAGTTAATTTTTAAATTGATAATTTTGTATGGCTCACAAATGATGTTATAAATATCCAAATGGCCTTTGGCAGAAAAAAGGTTCCCACCACTCCAGACAAACTGAGAATATTACAGGTGTGGCTTTGCTATATTCAGGATCTCAAAGATACTTTAGGTAGGTTCTTCTGAATTCAAATATCACCAGAATTCTTAATTTATTTTTATGGTGTTAATATTGAAATATCATTTTTGTTCGTCTTCTCTAGGCTTACATTTGTAAGATTAAAATTAGGTCCGATTTATCTTTTTACTTCAGCATATACCTACTTAGACTCATCTATTGCATTGCCTATATTCAGTAACTCAGTAGTTGGTTGAATTTGACTAAATATGGATACACCTAATACAGTGTTTTTCAACCTTTTTTGGGCAAAGGCACACTTGTTTCATGAAAAAAATCACGAGGCACACCACCATTAGAAAATGTTAAAAAATTTAACTCTGTGCCTATATTGACTATATATAAAGTAATTCTCTTGAATAGGAATCAAATAAACACAAAGAAAGTATTTTATTATTACTTTATTATGAAATATTAAGTAAACAAAATAGTGAAAAATTATAAAATTCTTGTCTGCACCTACGGCACACCAGGCAACATCTCGCGGCACACTAGTGTGCCGCGGAACAGCGGTTGAAAAACGCTGACCTAATAGATATTCTTTCTTTCTCACTGCCATTAGGTGTGGCTGCATGAAACAAGGAGAACCATTCTATGCCTTATATCTCCCCCACCCCCTTTTTAAATCCTTACCTGATGTTATGTTTATAAAGAGAGAGAAAGGTGGGGAGGGAGGGAGGGAGGGAGAGACAGAGACAGAGACAGAGAGAGAGAGAGAGAAAGAGAGAAAGAGAGAGAGAGAGAATATCTATCAGTTGCATCCAAAAGCGCCCCTACTGGTCACAGGGATGTGACCTGACTGAGAACTGAGTCAGCAATCTTTTTGTTGTATAGTACGACTCTTCAACCTACTGAGCCACCTTACCAGGGCCCAATTCTTTTTAATGGCATATGTGGAAAGACTATTTGGGGGGGGGGGGGGGAGGTGTGAATATTTGAATGATTTTGAAGAGCAGACTTTGCCAACAAAAAAATAAATTTGCATATTATTTTAAGAGAAAACTAGTACTATCTAGTTTGCTTAAGAGTCCAAGACTCTTGAGCTTATAGAAAGGATTTTAAGAAGTGCAGTTCAGCCCGACCAGTGTGGCTCAGTGGTTGAGCATTAACCTATGAACTGGAGGTCATAGTTCGATTTCCAGTCAGGGCATATGCCCGTGTTGTGAGCTCAATCCCCAGTGTGGGTGTGCAGGAGGCAACCGGTCAATTCTCTTTTATCATTGATGTTTCTATCTGCTCTCCCTCTCCCTTCTTCTCTGAAATCAATAAAAATATTTAAAAAAAAATAAAAGTACAATTCATTGTATCCTCACCAACAACCAATGAGGTGAGGAAGAGTTACAAGCTTCTTGAGAAGGCATAGTCCTAGTTTTAGACGTTTGGACTTAGCTGCTGTACTCTCTATATGTGTGTTTAAACAACCTTGACTAGAAATTTAATAAATTAAAATCGTATAAATAAATGACTTTAAATTTTCAACCTTTCTCTTTTGCAAAGAATTCATATACATTTCTGAACCTTCATTTGTAATATTTATATATGTACATAGATTATTTAGCCCAGGTTTATTTTAAGACTATGAAACATACAAGTTAATTTTTGTGTTGTGGTTATTCATTCTTATGGGGAATAGAAGCTCTTTATTGACATTTTATTTCTGTTAATACTTTTTTAAGTTCCTGATTTGCTTTTTGGTTTTCATTTATATTGAGTTTCTAGAAAGATGAAGTGTTACCAATTTGAGAAAACACGTTTTAGAAGGATATTAGTATTTCTCAGTAAATACATTTGCTAATGCATTTCTAAATTACAAAATTGTGCTGAGAGTGAATGAATTATAATAGTGAATATTTGTTAAAGTACTGAGAGTGAATGAATTAGCAGTAGACTTTTTAGTAGCTTTCAATTTATGATGGCAGCCATTTGCACATGTCTTTTGAGGTGTTGAGCACTAGTATAGTCATTTTCATTAGAAATATTTTTATGATTTAACACTAGCTTCAAACACTAAATATGTGGTTGCTTCTATATAAAATGGGTGGTGGTCCTCATAGCATATTTTTTAACATAACTTCTTGCCATATATAGTCATTTTTCTGTAAACAAGGTAAAAGATAACTCCTTATATTGTAATTGTGTTGAAGTAAAATGTTTCTAGTATTCTTTTTAAAAAAAACCATTTTATTGATTTTTTACAGAGAGGAAGAGAAGAGGTTTAGAGAGTTAGGAACATCGATGAGAAAGAATCATCGATCAGCTGCCTCTTACACACACCCCACTGGGGACGTGCCTGCAACCAAGGCACATGCCCCTGACTGGAATCGAACCCAGGACCTTTCAGTCCGCAGGCCGACGCTCTATCCACTGAGCCAAACTGGTTTTGGCTCTAGTATTCTTTTTGAAGATGGTTGCTTGCTGATCTCTTAAGCTGGATGATGAAAGATGTGGGTGGAGTATCTTAAAGGGTAATAGACTAGAGATGAGAAACAAATTTAAAATGTGCACAGTGCATAGTGGTGGTTGAAGAATGTAACCTACTTGCTTTCCATAGGCTGGATTTCATCATTGTTACATAAAGTCCCTTTTGGCCAATTTAGTGAGTGCTGCTGGGTCTTGGGGGGAAAATCTTTTGTCTTTATTCACAGAAATAATTGTGGGGACAGAGAATAGTCTTTTTCTTGATTAGAAAAATCCATTTTATCTTTTTAAATTATAGTAGTAGTAGATTGTAATTATAGTAATAATAGTAATAATACCTTGGTTTTAGCTAATGATTTGTAGTGTGCCTTCAATTAATTTTGATTATCATCTCATGTGACATCCACATATTTTACTTGCCTTAAAAATCATACTTTTAAAAAAAAGTCACACTTAAATTTGTTACTAAGAACTATTTGAACATCTTTAAGTTTAGGAGTTAACTGCAAATGAGATATTTATATGTGATTCTTAGTACAGATCAGATCATAAGAAAGCAGAATTCCTTCCATCTTAGTTGAGTAGGAAGGTTGGGGAAAATTGACTTGTGTATATGTAACACATGTAATAAAATAGGCTCTTCTCTTTACTTAAAAAAAAAATGTTTGCCATTTTAAAGATCTGAGATCCTATAGCACCATAGCAATTTGGGAGGCAAAATGAGTTGGCCATATAGAAATCTAACATGGTCTAAATTCCTTAATCCCATTTAAGTTCAATTTCATGTTTCTTTTGTTCTTGGTGAATAAAAACTAAAATGATTGTCCCTTTGTCTCTGGGATGAATTTTTGGAGTTGGATTTTATGTTGAGATTGTTAGGCTCAGATTTGTTTTAGCTCTAAATGTGGGACAAGTTCTACCTCAGGGTAACCCTGTTGCTTTATTTATTTATTTATTTATTTATTTAATTCTTTAATTGAATTTATTGGGGTGACATTGGTTAATAAAATTATGTAGGTTTCATATGCACAATTCTATAATACATCATCTGTATATTGTATGTTCAAATAGTGTTGTTTTCTATGATTGATCTTAAATTAATGTGTGTGTGTGTGTGTGTGTGTGTGTGTGTGTTAAAAAATGTTTTATTACTACCAGCATGAGCGGCCTGCATGGGGTGGCAGGTACACAGGACTCAGGGTGTGTGTGGTCTGTGAGAAAATGATGATGACTGGGAAGCTTGAAGGAAAGGGGCTGGGGCTGGAGGCCAGCTCCAAGGGTTCTTCAGACGCTTAAAGGTAAGCTAATGTCAAGCCACTGACAAGATTAAGAAATTCTTGGAAATCTAGCTGCCCATCAGAGTTGAGGTCTAGTTTCTTCATCATGTGGTGAAGGACACCGGGGTCCTTCTGGTTCTTTGTGAAGGCAGCCAGTTCTGTATTCATGACAGTTGGAAACTCTGTCTTAGAGAGTGTGAAGCTGTTACTGTCCTTTACAGCATGCCTCTGTTGTACTAGAGCGAGACGCAGAGGCTGTCAGTGGAGCAGCGTGCTTTGGGTTGAATTAATTAAAAAACAACAACATATCTTTATTGATTTCAGAGAGGAAGGGAGAGAGAAAAAGAGAAACATCAATGATGAGAGAGAATCAGTGATTGGCTGCCTCCTGCACAGTCCCCAACTGGGGATCAAGCCTTCATGTGCCCTTGACCAGAATTGAACCTGGGACCCTTCAGTCAACAGGCTGACATATGAAGCTAATTGACTTGTAGGAGTCATCCTCTTATGTAATAAAAGGCTGATATGCAAATTGTCCCCTCGGGAGTTCGACAGACCAGGAGTTCGATTGCTCACTATGACATCACTGATCACCAGGAGGCAGCGTGGAATGAAGGAAGGCCCTGGCTGGCAGCCAGCAGCCAGGGGAAAGAAGGCCCTGATAGGCCCTAATCGCCGCCCAGGCCTAGGGACCCTACTTGAGCACAAATTTTGTGCACCAGGCCTCTAGTCTATATATATAAAAGGCTAAGAGATGGCCTGGTAGCTATGACGCACACTGACCACCAGTGGGCGGCGCTTTACACAGAAGCTGCCGAGCTGCAGTGACTTGACAGCAGCAGTTCTTTTGGGTGATGCACCTCAGAACCAGAGAGGAGGGAGCCTAATTCCTTGAGGGGCCATGTGATTTCATCTTCGCTGTGGGTTATGTTGCTGGGGCACTGTCAGCCCTGAGTCTGGTTACTGCACACTTGAATTTTCATTTCACATCCTGTATGACAGCAACTTTGCAGAGTGCCCTCTCCTCGCACTGTGGGACCCCTTGGGGGATGTTGGAGAGAGCCAGTTTCAGCCTAATCCCTGCGGGCCAGGCCGAGAGACCCCACTCACTCCGTAGACGGACACCCTTTGAGCTGCGATGCCACCCCAGATGTGGCCAGCCAAAGAGGACCTTGGGAGGTTGTCTCCAGGGCGTGTCCATCCTGTCTTGCCCAGTCCTGCCCCACCGGCCACCTTCTAATTAATTTCCTTTCAATGTGCCCAAATCGCGCACCGGGCCATGGATTCTAGTATTTAATAGTTTATCTTGTTATTAAAACTATCTGCCCATATAAGTCAAATTGTATGTAAATAATATTTTGTTTGTGTGTGCCATAGATGTACCAAAGCAAAGAAACAACTTCTGGTGTGTGCATACCAGATGAAACTCGAGTGAGTTATTTTGATGTATAATATTGGCTCTATTTAATTATTTCTTTAATCAGTAATTCACCCAAATTAGTAAATGTGGCAATTAAATTTCTTTTGGCATTAATGAATGTTCTTATGTGACTTTGGGCAAGTCACATACTTTTGTGTCTCAGTCTTTCTAACCTGTAAAATGAGGATACTAATAGTGCTTACCTCATATGGTTATTGTAAGCATTAAATTAGTTAATACGTTTCAGTTACTGTAGCTACATGACAGTCAACTCAAACATTGAATGGTTTAAAACAAATATTTTGCTTACGAATCTTTGATCTGAGCAAGGTTTCACCTGGTTAGGTCATTCCACTTGGTGTCAACTTGGAGAATCATAAAGGCTGGAGACCGCAGTTTACAGAAAACTCATTCATGTATCTGTCATATATGTGGTGCCTGAGCTCAAAATACTCAAACAGCTGGGTGCTAAAACAACTGGGGCTCCCTGCATCTCTCTTTGAAATTTATCTTTATAGTTGAAAGTATTAGACCCTCCTTTTTCCCCATTGACTCCCTCCTCCTCACACCTGCCCCCTTGTCAGGCCTTTACTGTTTTTCTTTTTTAATTAAATTTAAATTTTTTTTATTGATTATGGTATTACATAATTGTCCTTATCCCCTCATTCCCATCCCAAACCCCTCCCCACATATGCCACCACCTCCTGTTGTCCATGGCCACTGGCTAGGCCCATAAGGCCTTTACTCTTCTATTGTCTATATCAGCGGTCACCAACCGGTGGTCTGTGAGGTCCGAAAGGTTGGTGACCTCTGGTTTATATCTATGGGTTATGCACATATGCATATAAATTCTTTGGTCTATGAACTTTCTTCGCAGGATCTCTTCTGCGTGGTGTCTTCAGAGCAGTCAGATTTCTTTACAGGGTAGTTCAGGGCTCCCAAGTTGTGGGTTCTGAGAGAGCGAGCGCTAAGCTGAAGCTGTACTGCCTTTATGACAGCCATAAGATGTCTGGTAGTATCATAACTTTTGCAGTAGTCTTTGTCCTACTTTAATTCAAGGGGAGATAATATAGATGACCCCCCCCCCCCAAAAAAAAAAAAAATAGAATCCCTCCACCTTTTTTTTTTTTTTTTTTAATGTATTTTTTATTGATTTCAGAGAGAGAGAGAAACATCAATGATGAGAGAGAATCATTGATTGGGCTGCCTCCTGCATGCCCCACACTGGGGATTAAGCCTGCTACCTAGGCATGTGCCCTTGACCGGAATCAAACTGTGACCTCCTGGTTCATAGGTTAAGGCTTAACCACTGAGCCACGCCAGCTGTTTCCCCCTTTCACCCCTCCATCTCTTGATGCCATGTTGTAATAGCATGTGAGAGGATGAATATCGGTGTAACCATATTTCAGTCTGACAACACGGCACATAGAACAAAAGCAGGATATACAGGAAATAGTAAGCTGTTATGATAAAGAATGGGAAGTCAGGTTTAAATAGTGTCATTATTTGTGATGTACATTTTGAGGTAGTGAATTACATAATCCTTCCTTACTTGAGAAAAAGTCATAAAATGTAACAGGCCAGGCAGTTTTTAATTTTCATGAAGTGCCTGTTCCTTTTCTGGTTCAGTTTAGCTTTTAGTCCCTTTGTCAATTCCTAGAATAAGGAGCAGGGCACAAAATAATTCTAACAAATGGGGGTGAGGAATGGTATGGATAACTCAGTGTTTTTACTCTTAAAGTTGTATAATATCAGTATACAACCTCAGACTTTTCAAAAACATAAAATCCTCTTAAATACTTTGAACTATTTTGAATTTTAACCTTTAATAATTTTGATTTTAAGTGCGAGAGAGACAGTAATCTGAGTAGATAGCGGCAAAAAAAATAATTTTTTTTTCGATAGATGAAACATTGCCTATTAGCTTACTCTGCTGTCTATACTAATAAAAGAGAAATATGCAAATTGACTGTACATTCGAAGTGTCTACCAGCCAATCAGAGTGTGTATGCAAATCAACCCAATAAAGCTGACATGCTAATTTGCATACAAGGACCTGAGCAGCTGGGGACAGGATGCCTGTGTCATCACGCCCCAGCCGCTCCAGGCCTCTGGGCAGCATGGGAAAGCAGAATGGCTGCTCCAGGCGGGAGTGAAGGCAGTGCTGGCAGCCAGGGGAAGGAAGGCCCATTCTTGCACCAATCTTCGTGCGTCAGGCCTCTATATGATTAGATTAGCACTCCTGTGTGTGGTTTTGTTTACCTACAATTTGATTAATACTTTGGAAAACTATACATAGTATATTTCTATCCAAAGCATGTTACCAATTACAAAGATAAACTAAGTTTATAATACTTGCTCTGACTCTGTTAAATATTCCTTAGACCAATGGAATTACTGTCACTTTTTTCATGCCACTTTTATTCATTCTGTGTGGAAGACCATGTTCCAGTCTTAATATAGAATATTTGTTTTAGAATAATTAAGATACAAATTAAGACTGAAGAATTTTTAAAAATACATATATATTTTACTAATTTTTTACAGAGAGGAACGGGAGGGAGAGAAAGTTAGAAACATCGATGAGAGAGAAACACTGATCAGCTGCCCTCTGCACACCCCCTACTGGGGATGTATCCACAACTAAGGTACATGGCCTTGACCATAATCGAACCCGAGACCCTTCAGTCCACAGGCTGACACTATATCCAATGAGCCAAACCGGTTTTGGCAGGACTGAAGACTTTTTAATGATTATCTTTTTTATTGATAGAACTAAAATAAAACAGCTTGGTCCATTAGAGATTAGGGAGGTACTTTTGTGGAACCTCATTCTTTAACTTCCAGATCCTGAAGAAAAGTGGTTAGATGCCTTACTCATTCTGTTTTCCTTGTTTATGGTACATTTTATACTTTCTGTCATTCTGTATATAAGATAGCTCAGTGGTTTTTAACTAGTTTGAAAGTACTTATCCATTTCATAATTAGTAATTTGACAATTTCGAGGTCTATGGTTGAGAAAGTAAACTAAAAACAATTTACAGACTTTGAGTAGTGGATGAAACTTTTTTCCAAATGAATATGGAACCCAATACAAAAGACATAATATAGTATTAGGATTTATTTAAAAGTTTTTATTGATTTCAGGGAGAGAGGAAGGAAGAGTGGGGGGAGAAAGGGAGAAACAAGATGTGAGAGACATCAGTTGGCTGCCTCCTGCACTCCCCACTGGGCATTGAGCCAAAACCCTGTTATGTGCCCTATAGGGGAATCCAACAGTGACGCTTTTGGTGCATGGGAGGATGCTCAACCAATGGAGCCACACTGGCCAGGGCAGTATTTATTTTTATAAGCTAAAAATTTTTTATAAAATCAACCAAAAACAGTAAAGCTTTTAGAAGAATTTAAATTTGAAGTAGGGTTTGTTTTATTCTGTTTTCTCAATTCTGTTTTGGCTGCTTAGTCATGAAATTTTGACTTGCAGATACGTACAGCTCCTCTTTCAGACTCTGTATATACTTTAGTTGTACTGATCCAGAGCTATAAAAGTATTTTTAGTATAGACATTTTGTTTGAAAGACACCATTACTTAATTATATCTTAATTATCTTTACTTCATATCACAAATGCAAAAGTGACCAGCCCTTCAAACTTATGCAACAAAACATAATATTGTTTCATGTTAGCTCTTTAATTTGGAACTAGCCACTTGGCTACTCCCCTAGGAGAGGAGAGCATGCAGCAAGTTAATTTGTGAGTCTTCTTGGAAGGTGTTTAATTGGGAAAAGCATAAGGCATGTGACTGCAGACTAATTTTATGAATAGATATGTATAGACCTAAATTAG